AAAACGTTGTGATGTGTACTGCTAAAACCTGATTAGATTGAACTCTTGCACAGGGATCATTTATAGTGAGAAGAATGATAAAATGTGAGTTTCAATGTTCCTATTTTGTGGGAGAGGGGGAAAAGACCCAGAGAAGGAATCTGGATGTGGTATCTCCAAGAGCAGAAATTGCATGTCATGTACACAAATGTATTAACCGAAGTATAGCATATGCAGAGGGAGAATTCAAACCATGGTTTAACTCCTTAGAATAATTAACTCCCAGTCTATCCAAATAAATACCAGGAAGCTGCTACTTGGCGTGTGTAGGTGGGGGAAATCAAAAAGGAAGGTGGGGGTGGGGAATTAAGTCTCAATATCATATATATGAAAATGGAACTAGGCCCTTTTAGGGGATTGGGTGGTGTTGGAAGAGATGGGGGAGGGGGACAGGAAGGATGACATAGTCCAAGATGCACTGTACTCATAAACTGACAGATTAAATGGTAATTCCTTTGTACAACTAAAGACAGACCCCCCCCCCCCCCCGAGCAGCACAGAGGGAAGTGAATGCCTGGACCTGAAAGAACGAAAGGAAGCAGGTGGATGACTGAACCAAGGCATCACTGCATGTGTAGGGAAGACATCTGTTCTGTGTGCTTCCAGAGCAGGAAAACTGGGACCATGGTGTGGAAGGGGCAAGGAGGAAGACCTCAGGTGAACTGAAGGGAAGTCTTTCTAGCCATGGACGGTGGTGCTGGAGGATTTCTGCCCTAGGAGGCAGGACGGACTAGAACTCCTTCCAACCCACGTTAAATGGCCCGCAGACCGCTTACCTGACAGAGGGAAACGTTTCCATAAGGCTTTGCCTGGGCATGCAAGTGAGCCTTAGCCTCGCGTTTATCGCCATGCACAAGCAGGATTGGTTTCTTCCTGCAAGGAGATGAGAGTGAGCAGAGCTCAGCTGGCGATGGGCCACAGCCTGAGCCTGAAGCCTGCTGTGCTACAGTGGGGGAGGGGTGGCAATGCAGCAAAGTCCTTGGTTATTTCCTTTCTTTGGTCTAAATGAGCACATAGATAACTATTTGTTTATATAGTTAAGATTCAATTGGGCCTAGAACTTACTAATCAGGCACTTTACTACTTGAGCCAATCCACCAGCCATTTTAGCGTTCAGTATTTTTCCAAACAGGGTCTTGCTTTTTGCCTGAATCACCCTGTATTGTGATACCCCTAATTTATACTACTTGGTAGCTGAGATGACACGCACATACCACTACTCTCAACTTTTTATTGGTTGAGATTGGGGGGGGAAGGGGTGGAGAAGAGAGGGGTGTCTTATGAACTTTTTGCCCAGGCTGGCCTTGAACCACAATCATCCTAAAAGACAACTATTATTGTATAGTCTGATGTTTCTTTTTCCCTATTTTTTGGATTAAGCAACAAATACATATCACACTGCACCTATATGCCCCAAGCCATATTATATGCTATGTATACTGTTCATTAACCAGGATGCAAAAGTAAGTAGGCCCCAAACCAGGCACAGTGGTGCATGCCTGTAATCCCAGACTTTGGGAGGTAGAGCAGGAGGATAGCAGTTCATAGCTAGACTAGGGAACACAAGCAAGTTCCAAGCTAGCCTAGGCTACATGTAAGACAGTGTCTCTAAATAAACAAATAAATAAATAAATAACAAAAAAGGGAACCTGTCTCAAGCCCACAGACTGAAAGAGACTTGGAAAGACATAGCTGGGTTTCAGGGGACCAGAGCCCAAAACATATTGCCATTTTTTGAATTCTGAAGACTCCATGAAAAGAGTCTTTGGAAACAAACTTAAATGGCTTCTGCGGGAATCCTTCATCATCTCCAGTTAACTCAAAGCAAGATGATCCTTAGAAATCAGTATGCTGCTACTAGGGCTTCCAGCACAAGAAAAATGGAATTTTTCTCCAGCAAGCAATCGAGCCATTTCCTACCTGCAGCCGCTTCATGATTCTGCCACATGTCACATGAAAGGAAGACATTCAGCTAGAAAACCACACCACAGCTCATGCCCCTTCAGTGCTAATGCCCAGCTGTCTCATACCCACCTTAGCTTTACTCTAACCGGGCAGGCAAAGCTAAACGAGGCGGCTTACATTCTAACCTTTTTCCTACTTGGAAAAAATAAGTTACAACTGGAAAAACTGTATGGAGGAAAAAACTTCAGAAATACGTACACATCTAACACCTGGACACAAGGAATATCATCAGGTCATAAGGACATTTTGAAAAAGATAAAAGATGATTAATTTTCTATGCACACATTCTAGATGTGAACTAAGGGACTATGGCTGTGGACAGGGTAGTGGATATTGTGTAAGGTTGGAAGTGCTGCTCTAACAAAATGCTAACAATACTGGGTAGCTCAAACTACCCAGTTTCAGAAGCAAGAACTCTGAGATCATTTTCCTGAAGCTGTGTGGGAAAGCCTGCCTCTGGCAGTCTCCTATGTTCCTGGTGTCTTTCATCTGTTTATCTACATTTCCTTTTTTTTTTTTTTTTTTGGCCAGTCCTGGGGCTTGAACTCTGGGCCTACACACTTGTCCCTGGGCTCCTTTTGCTCAAGGCTGGTGCTCTACTACTTCATCCACAGCTCCACTTCCAGCTTTTTAGTGGTTAATTGGAGATAAGAGTCTCACAGACTTTCCTGCCTGGGCTGCCTTCAAACCATGATTCCTCAGATCTCAGCCTCCTGAGTAGATAGGATTACAGGCATGAGCCACGTTTCCTTTTCTAATGAGGGCAACAGCCTTATGGATTACTACTCTTCCCCAACCCCAATGACCTCAGTGAGACTTGACTTGATCCTCTCTGTAAAGCTGATCTCCAGATGCAGTTGTATTGGGAGATGAAGAACCACGCTTGGTTTAGGATTCTTAACCAGTCTTTCACAGGAATTATCCAGAGGAGGGAGTAAAGGAAGTACAGTCTACACATTGCCAATACTGTACAGAGGTGGGGATGGGGAGCACTGGCCTTCAGGTTCTTTGAGAAGCAAAAAGAAGAGAGAAAGGGTCAGTGCAACACAGGGGCATGCTGCAGGAGCTGGTGGCAGCGGTCATGGTGCCTCTGGACAGCTACTCTCTCCTTTTCTAGCAAAGCTGGATTTGATGGAAGACAAAGTGTGCTCAGCTAGAGGATCTTACTTCCGGTGTCCCTTAGAGCTGGTTAGTGTTGTGAGGCAGAGCTGCGCTCAGTGAACAGAAGCAGGTGTTGTGTGGGACCTGCCAGGCCAGCGGCTTGGAGGGGTATGGATGAGGCATCAGCCCTTTCTTTCTTCTCTTCCTTCCTGTTACCTGGAACTCAGACAAGAGCTGCAGCAATGACGGCCATCCTAGACCATGAGGGAACTTAGGATTTAAGTCACACACTAGGACACTGGGACAAAGACAGAAAAGGTAGATGGAGAGCTCGTGGAGAAGAATCATGGTGCTCCCACTCTAGACACACATTGTTTCCAGACTCAGGCTAGAAAATGCAATTTCTGCTTTGCTTGAGCTATTGTATTCTGGGTTTTCTGTTAACACGCAGCTAAACTGAGGCTTCGAGTGCCCAAGTTGCCTGGGAAATTTTAATATCTTACAAAGGATTTCATGTTTTCCTTGTGTATGTATTCTTCTACCCTCCTTGCTGTTATGATTCTGCCACATACATAAATGTGTGAGAGTCAGAGATAAGCACCTGTCAATGTGTACAGCTATGCTTATCTGGTCTGCATGGCTACTGGTGGCAGAACAGAAAATCCATCCCCTCCATGGCATGGATACAGGAAGGTCAGGACCTTCTTTCTCAACTCTAGACCCAAAGGAAGAACCATCCAAGAAACTAAGAGATCTTCAGAGATGAACAGTACTGATGTGCTAAGCAAAGAGTGGTATGCTGGACCCCTGCATGGAATGTGTATGTCCAGACACAACTTGGACATGATCGCTTCCTTCATGCTTCCATTGAACACAAAGTCCCATTATTTGCGTTGGAATTTGTCCTTATCTGCTTCTAGATAGAGCACAGAGGGAAACGCTACGATCTGTAGAAAAGAAACTGTGGTTTCCCCCAAATAATCTCTGTATGCTTTCAATGGTGTCATAAGAGATGGGTGGCTTTTGCCTGAGAAATCTTTCAGTCTTGTGTTAGAAAGTGCTACTGATGAGGGTGTCCCAGTACCCGCGGGACTCACCTGAACTCGGGTGGATACTGCCTTATGAGCCAGTCCACATCAAAGCAGTAGTTAAACTAGACAGAGGAGAAAGAGAGTCACAGGTAATTCAAGCAGGCAGACATGGGAGAAACTGTTATTTAAATGGAAAGACACTTTAAAATAATAATGCACTACATGTATTATTTAGAAACCTAGTTATGCTGCAACACCCATAAATGACCGTGAAATTATCTTCAAGAAATATACTGCTAAAGCCACGCACATAAATGGGGCCAACTGCACCAGGAAGTAGGCTCTAAGGAAGTTACCTCCACAGGCTTCGGGCAGGGTTCGTACTTGTCAACAGGGTTTAGATGATTTCAAGTAGCCCTGAAGTTAAATTCTCATAGCTCTGAGATGTATTTAAAAAGATATGACCTTTTTTCCTCTAGGTATTTGTAGAAAGATACATACTAGAGATAAAGATCCCAGGACTTGTACGAAAGGGAATTTCCTTTCAGCTGAACTTCTCAGAGGGCTGGGTTCACAGGCCTCGGGGTGTGCGTGCTCATTAGGCTAATAATACTCACATTTTACTTTTTTTTGGTGCCAGTCCCGGGGCTTGAACTCAGGGCCTCTGTTCTCACTTGGCTTTTTCACTCATGGCTAGCTTGCCACCACTTCAGTCATGGCTCTTAACTTCCAGATTTTTGCTGGCTAATTTGACATAAAAGCCACATAGGCTTTTCTGTTTGGGCTGGCTTTGAACCATGATTTTCAGATTCCAGCCTTCTGAGTAGCTAGGGTTATAGGTGCCCAGTTAACAATCACATCTTGACCACATGTTCTACACTGGTCTTACCTTAGTGGCCTCTTCTCACACCCACAGAATTTTGAACACAAGCTCAAATTAGCTCAGAGAGCAGAGCACCCACAAATTCACCCCACATCCCATTGGAGACTAGGATTCTCAAGGGCAAACCAAGCAAGAAGGGACCAAGCAGGCTAGCTTGCTTCAAATGACAAGCATCTTTTCTATCTCTTAAGAATCTGTGCTGTTCCTGTGCCTAAACACCAACAGACCAGCCTAGCCAGGGAGGAGGTGGACATGCCCAAGTCCCCTTCGGGCCCTTTCACTACTCTCTGGGATGTGAAGAATACTTGTGTTTTTTTCCTAAATCAAATCAAAATTAACTTGCCATCCACATTCTCCCCAGAGATGCCAGCATCATCCTTTGAAATCATCAGGGTTCCAAAAAGTCATCTTTCAGGCTGGATTATCCAAAACAACTTTTTGGCCACTCCTTGTGGCATGGTCAAGAGTCAGATGTGGACTGGCATTGGTGGCTCACGCCTGTCATCCTAGCTACTCAGGAGGCTGAGATCTGAGGATCACAGTTCGAAGCCAGCCTGGGTAGGAAAGCCTGTGAGACGCATCTCCAATTAAATGCCAAAATGCTGGAGATGGAGCTGTGGCTCAAGGGGTGGAATGCTAGTGTTGACCAAAAAAAAGTTTGGGGACAGTGTCCAGGTTCTGACTTCAAGCCCTAGGGCTAGGGAAAAAAAAAAGACAGATATGACCCACAGTCACTCATATTCTGTGTCAGTGCCTATACATCCCACAATGAGGGTCCTTGGAGGCTGACTCCAGACAGGGACCTTCCACAGGACTGACATATGTTCTGTTATAAAGTCATTTAATTATTGCCCACCTGAACAACATCAACAACAACATCAACAACAACAAAACTTTACACTCACCTGAGCTGAAGAAACAAGCGTCCCAAATAGAGGAGATAAAATATCTACAAAGACAAAATAAAAATAGGATTCAGTCAGACAAAAAAAATCCTTAGGCCTAACAAGCACCATTATCTTATGTAACAGTTATGGATCATAAAGATTTGGATCAGAAAATAAGAAACTGAAAAGCTACCACAAAGTGACTAACACTAAAAAAATCTATGAAAAAAATGTCCCCATGCCATCATATGGTATTTATTATATGTCCTTTTACAAAATACAATGTAAAACTAAAATCTAACACTTCAATACTAGCAGAGCTTTGAAGCTGTTAACACAGGGAACGTGATGCCTGTTCATTCCAGGATCTGTGAATCTTCACATCTCCAAAACCCCTACTATTGTCTCTACCTTTTGAAATCTGTCCACCTTTCAAGAACCATTTGAAGTCCCCCTTCCTCCATGAGATCTTCTAGACCACTCACAGTTCCAGCTTATGGGAGTCTGGCATAACAAACTGCATAGATTTAGATACCAGGAAGTCTTGAGTTAAGCCACAGCTCTGTGGACTTGGGCAGTTTATGTAACTGTTCTAAACCCCAGATGATGTCCACAGAGGACCTTGGGAACATCTCCTCATTGGTTGTTCTGAGGGTAAAATATACTTAAAAACTCTTTTCATGACATGATCTCCTCTTCTTCAAATCCTGGTGGTCCATCAAAACAAAACAATAAAACAAAAACAATTACAAAGAAAAAAAAAACCAAAAGATAGTCTACAGAATGGGAGAAAACATATTTCAAGCTAGTCAAAGGATAAAGAGAAGTATCCAGAATATACAAAGAGCTAATAAAAAAATTAGTCAGCATAAGAACAAATTCAATAAATGGGCAAATGATCTGCAAACACAGTTCTTGGAAGAAGTACAAGTGGCTACTAACACAAAAATGTTCATTTCCTTAGACATAAAGGAAATGCATACCAAAACTATATTAAGATCCCATTTCATCCTAGTAAGAGCGGCAGCCATCAAGAAAAAACAGCAAATGCTATCAAGGATGTAGGGGATAAAGAACCCTTATACTAAAAAACAGACCTACCTTACGATCCTGCCCTATCATCCTTGGTCATATGCCTAAAGAAGTGTGAATCAATATACAATCAAGATACCTGAACACCCATGTTTACTGCAGCACTGATCACAGAAATCAGCTGAAATGTCCAACCACTGATAGATGGAAAATACTCTATACAGAGATAGAGCGGGAGATCATCATGTGGAGATAAGCCATGCTTAAATAGCCAAATTGCATTTTCTCACTCATTTGTAGTACCTAGACCCTAAATAATGATAATGATGATGATGATGATGATGATGATGGATGATGGAGTATGTATGTAAATGAGGCACTTCTGGATTGGGTTGAGTGGGAGGGGGAAGGAAAAGTATGTAAATGAGGCACTTCTGGATTGGGTTGAGTGGGAGGGGGAAGGAAATACCGAGGAGTGAAGAGGAACAAAGTATATTACACACAAACATAACACACATATACACACACACACACACACAAAGACAACCAATGGAACTTTCCAAATACTGTTTGAAAAAGAAGGAAAGAGGAAAGGGTAGAAGAGTGATATCATTGGGGGGAGAGGGCGGTGAACTTAATCAAAATTCACTAAGTGGATGTGCAACATTATTACAAGGAGATTCTCCTCTTACTTTTTTTTTTTCCTGCTGGTCCTGGGACTTGAGCGCTGTTCCTGATCTTTTCTGCTAGCATTCTGCCACCTGAGTCACAACTGCACTTCTGGCTTTTCTGGTGTTTAAATGGAGATAAGCACTTTCCTGCCTGAGCTGGCTTTGAACTGGGATCCTCAGATCTCAGCCTCCAGAGCAGCTAGGACTACAAGTGTAAGCCATCAGTGGCTAGATCCCCTCTTACTATTTTGGCACTGTTTTCTGTTCTCTCTAAAACAAAAGCACTGACAACTATCACTGATTTCTTCAGAGTACCTAGAAAAGAGATTCTTTAAAAACCTGTACAATTGAACTCACTACAATATGGGATTCAATTCATCAACAATTTACATTTAACACACAAGATATACAGATGTATGAGCCAGAAAAAAAAGGTTAATCTGAAAGAAGAGGAATCAGGTTTGTTGTTAAATCTGCCATGTGAATATACTGTTTGGGTCACTTCACACATTTGCGTGCTTTTCTGAACCCAGGTGTAGGGATGAGAGCACTAAAACCTGAGGAATGCCAGGTCCTGAGTTAACTACAGACCAAATGAATGGTGGGTAGCGAATTTGCCTTCAAGTTTAGAGCTCCTACCTGGATGGCTGGTGGCTCATGTCTATAATCCTAGCTACTCAGGAGGCTGAGATCTGAGGATGAAAGTTCAAAGCCACCCTGAGCAGAAAAGTCCATTAGATTTCTATCCCTAGTTAACTAGGGAAAAAAAAAAAAGAGCTGGAAATGGAGCTATGGCTCAAGTGATAGTGTCAGCCTTGAGTGTATAAAGTCATGCAAGAGCATGAGGCCCTGAGTTCAAGTCCTAGTACTGGTGAAAAGAGTCTAGAGCTCCCGCCATCTGTTGCTATGGAGAACCACCAAAGGCCAACTTCTATCCCATCTCTGAAACATCTAGCTATCTGCTCTCCCTTTGGCTTTTGTTACAGGAACCCAGTCAGGTAACCTGACTAGACAGTAGACTCCCCTGGAAGGCTTGTGAAAGCAAACTACAGGTGCTGGCCCCAAGTTGGATTCAATGAATCTGGGGTAAAGCTGAGAATGTGCATTCTCATGTGGCTGTCCCAGGGAGCAAGGCGAACAGCCGCCGTTAGGACGATGCTGTCTTGTTGAGGCAGTGCCACTGGTCAAGTTTAATCGTTCACGTTAAATCCTGTGCTCAGGATCACCAGAGGCTGAGAATACATGCCACCCACCCTCAGTAATCAGCTTCCTGTCAAACTCAGGCACCTGCTTATCAGAGAGAATTCTCCCTTCTCCCCCTCCAGTAAGTTAAGACACACAGGACCTGGAGGTCATCCCAGGCTGCCCTACTTGATTGGCAGAGAATGTGCCGGGGCACTGCGCATCCTTACCCTTGATGTGCAGGGCTTTGCAGTTGTACTTCGCCTTAATTCCTGAGACTCTAGTGAGGTAAAACTGGAAAGGATTCCCTTTATCCAGCATGTCCCAAATGTCCTGGCCTTCCCCTGATGTCTCATACTCATCTTTTTCCTCTCTGAGCCTGTGGCTAGCAGGAGGGCCAAGATCTGGGGCTTTGGGGGCAGCACCAGGTTTGGGAGAGGAGATGTCCTTTTCTTCTTTAACCACCATGTTCTTGGCCTGAGGCTGCTGCTGCTCCTGCCGTCGTGGCTGCAGCTCATCATCACTACTGGACAGACACCAGCCTAGGTCTTCCTGGGAACCACTCTTCTGCTTCTTGGGAAGTGAAACCGATTCTGTGTTGCTGAATTTCACAGGTGAGGTCTGTCTTCTGTGCGCAGCTTTCCGAGCCTCGGAGCAGGTGTATTTTGGCTCATTCTTGGCTCCCTGCTGAGCATGGGGGAGAGAAGATGTGCATGGCTTCTCCAATGGAGGTCCTGGGGGCTTCTCATCCTCGCTTTCATCACTGCTGGATATGGTCCACCTCCCGTAACTGCTTTCCTGAGTCATCGTGCTTCTGGAAAGGAAAGGTGGAAATATTTCCCATTCAATAAGCCACTGGCAAAATAATTTTATTACCTACAAATTCCCTATCAGATGAACTTCTACAACAGGTGCAGTACTTCTGACACCTAACAAGAGGCTGGGTCACATAACTTGAGTCATTTCACACACTCTCCCTTGGACATCTTATTCTTAGATGCCCTTAGGGAAGAAGCTGGAGCCCAATTCTTAACCAAAATACTGGTTAACTCTGAAGCTTCTAACAAGAGCTTGGGGTTAAGGCCAATTTAAGGAATTTTAAGTCATTTTAAGATAAGCACTAGTGGCTCACATCTGTAATCCCAGCTATATAAAAAAAGACTATGAGCTGAGAATCATGTTCAAAGCCAGCCGGGGCAGGAAAGTCCGTGAAACTCTTACCTACAATGAACCAGCAAAGAAGCTGGAAGTAGAGTTGTGGCTCAATTGAAAAAGCTTAAGGATAGCACCCAGGCTTTCAGTTTAAGCCCCAGTGGTGGCACAAGAAAAAAAAGTAATCTTCCCCCTCCCTATTTTTTTTTTTTTTTGGTCGGTCATGGGGCTTGAACTCTGGGCTTGGGCGCTGTCACTGTGCTCTTCAGCTCAAGGCAAGAGCTCTACCACTTGAGCCACAAAACCACTTCCGGTTTTCTAGTGGTTTATTGGAGATCAGAGTCTCATGGACTTTCCTGCCCAGCTGGCTTTGAACCGCGATCCTCAGATCTCAGCCTCCTGAGTAGCTAGCATTACAGGCGTGAGTCACCAGCGCCCGGCTTCATTTTTTTTTTTTTTAATCTTACTTTTTTGAAATAGGCCTCACTGTTGTCAAACTTGTGGTGATTCTCTGGCCTCAGACTCCTTAGGGCTGGGGTGGAATGACAAAACACTGAAGAAAAACACTGAAGGCGGCAGAAGATGGAAGGGCCAGCTGGCTTCCAGAAGCTGGCAGAACCCTCAGTGGAAGTATTTTCCTCAGTTGTTTCCAATCTGCAAAGGTTAAGAAAGCATATAACTGAGTTTGTTACAAAGTCAGCCAGGTTTTCTACAGGAGAGAATCAAGACTGATCTCTTCACACCTGCCTAAACAACTCAGCTTTTAAAAAACCTTTTATACTTTCTGTTTTAACTTCAACTTTTCTAGTGTACTAAACCCCTGAGACTGCTAGACAGATGCTGTTTTAAGCTGTTATACTTTTGCTTTAAAAGAACTATTTTAGTGTTTTGTCTTAGATTTTTTTTTAAATTACTTGAAAACAGAAGCAGCACTTAAGGAAAAATGGAAGCTTACTGACTTCTCAAACAACACTAAAGCAAGGAATTTCGTAACAAAATCCAATTAAGAGGCCTCAGGCTGGGCGGAGGGCAGGTGTAGCTGAATTGTGCAGACGGCTCAACACTACTAAAACCCAACCAAACTGAGCCCAAACCACTGGAATCCTCAAGCTGCTCTCCTTCAATTCCTTCCCCATTCTAAAACAAATATTAGGTCTCAGAGTTTTAGTTGAGAAAGAATTCAGCTTCCAGTCAGAGAAATGTATCCTCAGAAGTTTTCTTCCTTACTTTGTTTTGTTTGAGATGGGTCTTGCTATGGAGCCTAGACTAGACTCAAATTTGCTATCCTAAATTAGCTGTCTCCGGAGTGCTGGGTTGAGTCCGGCGGCAGGCACTACTACACCTGACTTTTAAACATTTTTTAAGTGCAGTGTTTCACAAATTTGTGTGACATCCTCACATTAGGCCATGCCAAATCTCTGTCATCCCTGTTTTGGTTGTGTGCGGGCTATAGCATTTGCAGAATCTTGAGACCATCATCATTTCTTCCCCAGGACTACACAAAGATTGCCACCTGTACCAACAACACAAATCCCCAAACCCTGAGAACTCCCTGAGCAACACAGTGGCTGTGAATTAGTTTGTAGGTTTTATCTATTTTTTTTTCTCCTAAAACCTCAAGGGGGTGGGATTCCCAGTAATAAGGTAGGATTAAGTATACAAATAATGTGCTTAAAAAGACATTTACTGGAGAACATAGCCCTTTGTATAGTCCTGCTTTAAACATAGTGTTAACTACAAGATGGAGCGAAGAGCATTCCAGGTAGAGGGAACCGAACTTGCAAAGTGGAGGAGCTGGGAACCGAGTTCAGGACCGCTGCAAGGGCAGACAGGATTTAGGACAAGCAGTGATCCAGGATAAAGGAGGTTGGCAGAGACACTGGATTATAATCTAAAACAACAGGGCCCCCAAGATGAGGAGTGCCTTGGCCTGATCTGCTCTTGTAGACGAGTATGTCTGCTACAACTCTGGGCGAGGAGAGTCCTGAAGGGTAGCTCATGGGATGACGTCGGGTGGTTACTGAACAAAGTGGGCCTGGGAGTAGGCCGCCGGTGGGAGGGGGGGGGCGGATACCCAGGTATAGACTCACTTCATCCTTACAATCCTGTATCTCGGACCCCGGCCTCGCTCTCCCCCTTTAAGGGGAAACTGAGGTCGGAAAGGCTGAGTGCTTAGCACGTGGGTGTGCAAGCGACAAGCTCTGGCAACCGATTGCCCCTGCCCCCCCTCCCCCACTAACCCCAGGCTGGGCTCACAGCGCGCGCCCCTCAGAGCCGCAGCTAACTGCAGGAAACTGGGGTCCTGCGCACCCCAGAATGGCTTAGCTGGTCGTTCACGGGCTGGCAGGGCCCCACGAGGAGAACGGAGCCGGATCCTGGGACGGCGGGAACAGAACCCACGGCAGTCACAGCGCACCTACCTCGCACGCGAGTCCTCCGCCGCCGGCCCCGCCCCCTGCAGGGCACTGCGCCTGCGCAGCGCGTTCAAACCCTGCGCTCGGTGCGCGCGCCCAGCTACGTCACCTTCCCGGAAGCCCGCCCCGCGGTCTCGAAGTCCGCCGGATGCCGGGTGCCCAGGCGTTCCGCCCCGTCCCCGGCCGCCCCCGGAGAGGGAGGGCGCTGGGAAACCTGGCTTCCCCCCGGCTCTCGGCTCACCCGCCGGGGACTAGCCAGAAAGGGGAGTAACTGGGGTGAGGGTGGGGGGAGAGGCGTGGGAACAGTTCCTCAGTTAGCAAAGTTCTCCCTCTTCCCTCCCCCTGTGCGGAGTCTTCGTGCACAGCCTCGGGCTCCGGGGCTGCGGCCAGGGCCGGCTGTCGAAGAATTTAGGGGGTGAGTTAAGGTTAAAGGACCAAGAAATCTGTGTCCCAGGAGACGTGGGCTCGGCTGGCATGCAGAGGTTAGAAGCTGCTGGAAAAATCAAAAAGTTACAGGGGTTCCCTCCAGACTTGGAACCACGAATGAATGCCTCCTGGGGAACAGGTGTGTTTTTGTTAGAAATCCGTTTGAAAAGAGGACACTCCTCCCTCCCCCCCCCAAACAATTCCTTGCACGGAGAAAGGACGTCGGCTGTGCAAATGCAGACGTCCCTTCTCAAGCCAGGCATGACTTCCAGAAGGTCGGGTGCACAGTCTAAAAGACCAGTTTAATTCATTTATTTCAAGTTCCTTTGGGTCCAACCCGGTATCGGATTCCGGGATGTGACTTCGTTCTACCCTGAGCGATGCATCCCCACTGATGGGCTGACTTAAATATGAATCGACTCCTGCGCTTCGCTCAGCTCGGTCTGTTCTTTTCCTCCTTGGCTCACACTTCTCTAGTGTCTCTCTTAACACCTAACCCGCCGTGGATCGAAACAACCCAAAGGACTGTACCGCGAGGCGGGCGAGAGACATCCCCGGCGGCACGCAAGGAGTTAAGAAACCAGGCTGGGGCGGAGCCAAGTGATGGGGGCGGGCCTGGGAAACCTACGCGCCCCACTCCGGGCCGTGGAAACGTTGCTCAACAAAACCTTTGGCCAATAGCACGTCTGAGTCAACGCCCGTGGCTCGCACGCTGTCCAATGGCAGGAGACATTGCAGTTGCGCGGTGAAGTTCAGCACCCTGAGCGGCGGTGGGCGTGGCCGCGAGGTGCTGGGGTCCCTGTGTGGCGGGAAGTGGTCGGGGAGTCGGAACCTCTGGGTTCGGTCCTGGCCGGGATGTTTTTATCCGAGGCTGGGGCCCGGCCTCGGACCCGGGAAGTTAGCCCGGCTGAACGCAAGAAGTGGGTGGAAGTAGGTGTCTGGAAGGCTACTCTTGAGTTTTGGAATTAAGTTTGTCCGTCTTCGTCTCAAGCCAGGTTAAGCTCAGGCCTGGACTGCTTTTAAAAGGCTCCTGGTGGATACTTAAGAGTCCTGGAGTTGTCGGCGCCCTGGCTTCTGTCCAATGTCCACTTCGGTCCACTTCCAGATTTCTTTCTTCTCCTCCCCGTCCATAGTGGCTCCATGTTAGCCCTGTGTGCGTGTGTGTGTGTGTGTGTGTGTGTGTGTGTGTGTGTGTGTTGGGGGGGGGGGGGGGGTGGAGAGATAATATTAAAGTTTGGGTAATAAAAGCACACTTTTGGGCCCTACTCCTGAGATTGAGATTTTCAAGATTCAAATTTAGTGCCAACTAGTAATAAAATAAGAGTTTCTGATTTCTGTCACACTAACTGAAGGTATTTAATATCCTTTAGGTGTTTAAAGCCTGTGATGAAGATAACAAAGGCTATCTAAGCAGAGAGGACTTTAAGGTTGCTGTTGTAATGCTGTTTGGGTACAAGCCCTCCAAGGTACAGCTTTCTCTATGTATTTAGGGATGGGGTAGATAACACAGTATGAATGGGTCTTAGGAAAACTGCCCTGGCTAGGTTAGATTGTTTATGGGGCACACTGATGAATTATATTATATATATTATATTATATATCTTCTCAAAGACTCATCCCAGGGATGAATTAGAAATCTGCTTCACTGGAATCCACAAAACCATGAAGTTTCTAACAATTATGAAATAGTAGAAGAATGCCAAGTGAGAAGACTGGGAAGGGGATATTTGTAGCAGGAGGACTTCATGTAGGAAGTGACTTGCACTGTCTCTTCCCCTTAAAACTTTTTTTCTTTTGCTCTTAAGTTGTAAAAGTAATACATTCACATATTTAAAAAGGCAGACTGGGGCACCTTGAGTTCGGAGATGACTGTGAGCATACGGGTATGTTCACTCCTGGGTGCTGAGGTTCTTGTGTGAATCTCTGGGTGCTGAGGTTCTTGTGTGAATCTCTCAGATTTTGCCGGCTCCCTTAGTGATGGGAACTAAAGAAGTGATGGCAGGAGATGGATGTGTGAGTCCTCATTTTACAGCTAGAAGCTCAAAAAATGAAACTGGTTGGCATTACCCAGGAAGATCTCTTCAGAATGGAAGATCAGTAATCAAGAGAGGAAACAATTAGGGAAGCCACCATTTAAAAGGAGGTATAGGATTCCAGGAGGAAGATGGAGTGGAGCCATTTGAGAGGAACCAGGAATGTGCAGGGAACCCAAGATGGTAGAGAATTCAAGACTGACAGTGGAAAAAAATGTGAGAGCACTTGCTGAGGCTCTGATTCCTTAGGGTTTAGACAGCTTTGTAAGAATCGAGGGGAAATGGTTCTATGTTAATACTTCATATACAGATGGCCTCAAATGTGTTAAATTGCAGAGGGGGGGGAAAGCTGGACTAGATCAAAATATTATGCAATGGTTTTCATTGGATGGCCACTTTCTTTTCTTCATAATTTATATACTTGTCCACACCAATTGTATGTTCCTTTTGTGTATGGTTGGGGGGGGGGAATCCTGGGCTTGAGCAAAAACACAGCTCTACTTCTGGCTTTTTGGTGGTTAACTGGAGATAAGAATCTCTGGGGCTTTCCTGCTCTGGCTGGATTCAAACTGTGATCCTCAGAGCTCAACCTCTTGAGTAGCTAGGGTTGTAGACTTGAACCACCAGCACTCGGCTTATATGTTATTGTTGTATCAGGAAAAAAATTAAAATGAAGCCATAGAGTTTATTGGAACAATTACTGTTTTTTAAATCTAAAGCAGAAAAGTAATCTTTTAGTTATGGTCTTATAGGGCAGCCAAATTGATTTTATGTACTTAAACTATATTTGTCAATTGAATAAAGTTTTGGGAGCCATTGAAGTTTATAGTAGATTAGTGTCTGGTATCTTAGAGAAGGTGAAGGAAAAGTAAGATGTTGAGACATATTACTTTCCTTCCTGGTTCAATAAAGTTGGTTTCTCATAAAATACATCTTTTTTCTTAGCAGCTGGAGTTAAAAACTTGTGTTGTTAAAACACTTGATAAAATTATATGCCCTTTCTTCTTTTGTAGATTGAAGCAGATTCTGTGATGTCTTCATTAAATCCCAGTACTTCTAGTAATACGACAGGTAAGGTTCATTTTCTGCCCCTTTTTTAGACATTCAAAAAACCAGAGTTTAAGAACATCATAATTAAGAACAAACATCATAAGATTCATTTTCTGCCCCTTTTTTAGACATTCGCAAAACCAGAGTTTAAGACCATTATAATTAAGAACAAACATCATTTAAAACACATTTTTTTGTTTTTAATTTCAAAGGAAATGTTTTGATTCTTTTTAATTTTGGTTAATACGTGTGGTATGTGCTTTAGTAGGATAATTTTAACAGTTGCACAGCATAAAGACAAAAATGCCATTCGTCAGTTCACTCATGTTGAAAATGAGCTTGTGTTTCCTGACTTGAGTAGCTGGCTGGATGAAGGTAGCAGTTACTGAAATAGGAGGACTGGGGTGAGGATAATTGTTTTGATGAGATTAAGAGTCTATGTATGCTAAATTTCAAAAGTTTCAATCCATTGTGTTATAGCAATTGGACTGTATTAAATGTGGAGCTCAGAGGGAAGCACTGGCTAAAGAAATGAATTTGGGGTCATCAGTAGCTTTAAAAATTACTGACTAGATGAGAGTACTTGGAGAACTGCATAGATTGAAAAAAATCTTAGGACTTGTAGCCAATAGAGGTTAAGTAGAGAATGAGAAAAAGGCAAAGAGACTTAGCAGTCTCCAAGGAGCAAGAAGAAATCAAATGTCCAATCAAAAGCCAAGACAACTCGGCTCCAGTGGCTCATGCCTGTAATCCTAGCTGCTCAGGAGACTGAAATCTGAGGATTGCAATTTGAAGCTAGCCTAAGCAGGAAAGTGTGTGAGACCCTTCTTTCCAATTAACCAGTAAAATTCAGGAGTGAAGCTGTGGCTCAAGTGGTAGAGTACCAGTTCATGCCAAAATACCTAAGAGAGAGCTCAAGGCCCTGAGTTTAAGCCCCCCCCCCACGACTGGTGAGTATTGCCATGAACATCGTGTGATATGATGTGATGTGAACATCACCTGATAGGTTGGGTAGATAAGAACTGAGGAGAAACCATTGTTGGAACTGGCAGCCTAGAGGTCTTTGTAACTTGAGTAAGAGGAGTTTCAATGTGATAGCTTCAACCTATTCATATTAATACTTTTTACTGCATAAAAATGATGTAATGGAATGAGCTCAGCTGCCCTATTAAAAGACAGATGTTGTCAGATTGGATTTTAAAAAGCAGGGCCTGACTCTGTATGTAGCCTACAGGAGCCCACTTTATATATGAAGACATAAAAACTAATAGTGCTCAGGCCCTGAGTTAATACTGGGATTAACAATACCGGAAGATCTCAAACATGGTTTCCACCTTTGGTTAGCTACCAAAAAAATAGCTAAAATCTTTTTATATACAAGGTAGATATGTCATATGAAATACGACTTTTAGAACTATTAGTAGAAGAATAAGGTTTTTTTTTCCATAATCCCTGACTTAATAGTGTTTCCATAGGTTTTTAATTACCTATTATAAATTTTCACACTTCCCAAATATTGTTTCTTGGATGTTTAATTAGCTGTAATATATTGATGAAACCTTTCGTCCATTTTTTCTTAGGATTTCCAGTGTACAAAAAGTCTGTCTTTTGGCAGAAGGATTTCCTGAATGTCTGGGCTGATCTGGTTTCCCTGGGTTAGGGGTGCCATGATAAGTCTGTCTGGACAGCGATCTCCCTGCCTTGTTATTTTATGCAGTTTCTCTGTTTTGTGGCTTTTCTGGTACTGGAATGAAAGGTACTGTTAGCAGCTCTTACTCATTCAGATTTCCTTTCTTGTGTGTGGCCTCTTGTTTTGAATTGAGGATTTGATTTCAAATCCTCAAGGATTTGAAGGGTTTTTTTTCCATTTTGAGGGAAGGTTAATTTTTTTATTAGTGCATATTGTATTTTTCTTTTTTTTTTTTGTTGGTCGTGGAGCTTGAATTCTGGGACTGGGCACTGTCTCTGAGCTCTTTAGCTCAGGCTAGTGCTCTACCACTTAAGCCACAGTGCCCACTTCTGGCTTTTTCTGTGTGTGTAGTGCTGAGAAATTGAACCCTGGGCCTCATGCATGCCAGGCAAACACTCTACCACTCAGCCACCTTCCCAGCCTGGGAAGGTTAATTTTTGTTTCCTTAATTCTCTCTGAGATACAGAATGTGGTGAATTCTGCAGGAAGTTTTCCTACATTCTTTGCCTGTGTAGTTGTCTGATAGAAAGATAGAGTGGTCTGATAGAAGAGTTCAGTGCTGGAACTTTTGTCCACATTCAGTGTGTTTACAAGACTCAGTATTTTTTCATACTACACCTGATTTCATAGAGAGGCTTTTCCATTGGTATTGCATTCATGTCCTACCTTCTCCTTCCCTCTCTCCCCCAGGGTTTGAACTCAGGACCTCACACTTAGGTGGCATTTTACCACCAGAGCTATGTAACTCTAGCCCAGCTTTTTTTTGCTGATTACTTTTTGTGTATTCACACAAGATACAAACTAAGAGGTGGCTAGTAGTAAATGAATATCTAGGTATGTCATGGATTCTCTCTTCCTCTGTGTGTTTTCCTAATATTAGAGAGAGTTTTGACTTGAAACTGAACATAGCTTATGCTCACATGATTGACAAAAGTCCTTCCTCTTGAGGTCTCTAGGGTTTGAGTTTTGCCTTTATGTAAAAGTGTTTCTCTCAATTTTTACAGTCATGGGACTTATTCCCCCTTCCTACACTTCTCCTATTTCTTTTTTTTGTGTGTCATTACAGGGACTTGAACTTAGGGTGTAGGTGCTGGCCCTTAGCTTTTCTGTGCAAGACTGGTGTTTCACCACTTGGGTCATAGCTCTACTTCTGGCTTTTTGGTCATTAATTGGAGATAAAAGTCTCATGGACTTTCCTGCCAGGGCTGGCTTTGAACTGTGATCCTCAGATCTCTCCTTCCTGAGTAGCTAGGATTACAGGTATAAACCACTGGTGCCTAGCTTGGAATCTTGTTTTGGCCTGCATTCTTGTGTGCAGACAAGAGTGCCTTCCATTCATTATGGCCAAAGGATTTCTTCACCTGGACTTTTCTGATACTGAAAATAGACTTCCCTCTTATTCAGGGTTTTCTGACTTTGATCAGGTGCTCAGGGACCTGCTCTAGTATGCTGTTCCTTGCATTTAATATCAAAGGATGACTCTCAAAACCATTTCTCAATCAAATCATTAGCATGCTTACTCTCACAGCTTCTTTTCCCAGTAATTAATTTTAAAGTATATTTCAGAAGCTTGCAAAGTTTTAAATTAGTCATCTGAGAAATTCAGGGGAATATCAGAGGAAGGATTAGTTTGGAGGAATGAGGTCAAATGTTGCTGGTTAGCACCTTGTCCCAAAATTGCTCTGAAATCAATGTGATTCTCCAGGCTGGCAGTCCTTTTCCTTCTTCTGATCTTGATGTCAATATCAGATTCATTTCTTCAGGATTAAAGGAACAGATTTACAACCAAGCCACTGGCTCTCCAAGTAGCTTTTCATATCTATATTTTTTGTTGGTCGTGGGCTTGAACTCAGGGCCTGGGTGCTGTCCCTGAGCTTTTTTGCTCAATGCTAGTGCTATACCACTTTGAACCACAGTGCTACTTCTAGTTTTCTGGTGGTTAATTGGAGATAAGAGTGTCACAGACTTTCCTGCCTGGGCTGGCTTCGAACCGCAATCCTCAGATCTCAGCTTTCTGAGTAGCAAGGATTACAGGTGTGAGCCACTGGCATCTGGCAAGCTTTTCATATTTACCTGAATGGAAGTGTAGTCCTCAAAGCCATAAATATCCAAGTTGCCATCCAGCAAGAAATCACCCCCAAACTCTACTGCCAACACACAAACTTTTTTCTATTGGAACCCTTCAATCCTGACTCCATTTCAGCCCATCAATTTCCTTTCTTCCCTATTAATGCCATGAGTACCACTTACAGGATATTTCTCTTGATAGAAGTAGCTTCATGTGCAGATAAAGTGTCTTTTCATATATGTTGTCTCTCTTCTTGCCGTTCTAATCTTGAAGAAGAAAGTAAATCTTGATCTTGGCTTCCCAGAGGGTATTTATTTATTTGCGGCTTCACAAAGTTTCCACAGGTTGCTATGACTTGGAAATTCTACTTGTGTCATCCACAGCTCTTCTTATTTCAAACCAAGGTCATGGCAGGTGTCTGCAGGGCCTCGTGGCTGAGCAGCCTCTGGGGCAAAGTCCAGACTTATGTCCTGGGCTGACCCTGGCTTAGCCACCCTTAGGCAAGGGCAGGATTCTGAAGATGGATGCACTTAGTTTTTGCTTTGGGACTGTAGCTGGATATGCAGGTTATGCTTCTCAAGATCTTCTAGTCTTCTTAGAAGATAGAGTCTGTCTGTGAACATTAAGAAGAGTGACAGGCTACATCAAAGCAATTAGAAATAAGAGTAGGGTGTGTGAAAGGAAAGTACATACCAGGAGAATTTGAGGGCAGTCAGAATAAGTAGCAAAAAAGATACCACTGATGTTTTTAAAATTGCCTGTCACCAAACAAGCAAATATTTGCAGAAACTGTTTAAGACAGCTGGGCACAGGTGCTAGGTAATCCTAGCTACTCAGAAAGCTGAGACCTGGAGGATCGCTGCTCAAAAGTCAGTTTGGGCAGAAAAATCCATGAGACTCCATCTCCTGTTTACTGGTGTGAAGCCAGGCTGGAGTTGTGGCCAAGTGGTAGAGTGTCAGCTGAGAATCTGAGACCTTTATTTCCTGTCCTGGTATCTGCATAGAAAAAGGAAGAAAGGAAGAGGGGGTATGGGGAAGGGGAAAGATTATTTAGGCCATCCAAGAACAAGGAAATGTCTTTGTAGGAGAAAAAAGTTTCAAGCCCTTTGTCTAAGGAAGCAGCAGATCCCTGATTGAGACTGATTTCTGTATGCAGCATTATGACCTCTTTTATAAGGTTTTAGTACAATTCCTGTTCATAATTTCTCTATATAAGACGAAAGAAGTTTGCAACCAGCAAAGCCCTGAAAC